CCGCCCAACGCCACCATCGTGCCGCTCAGGAACGGCATCGTGAAGCGCGCCTCGTTCTGCGACACCGCGACCTCCCCCACCTCCCCTGCTACCCCCGGCTCCTCGCGCGACTTCGACAAACATATATTTAAAACACTATTCTAAACTGTGATATTAGCGTTCTTTATTCCACCGATTGGCAACTATAGTTTGTCTAAATAAGATTAGTTTGATAATTTAGTAGGGATGGGTTGTGTACGGCATGAATCTTTTCGATTTTCGATTTTTATTCTTATAGAAGTTGGAATCGATAGATTCGTAGTTATAACTGATTTGAATAAAACACTGTTTTTTCAAATTAATAATGACCTGCAGAACCATTACAAATAATGAGAGTAAATAAATATTTATTACTACTACAACCGTACGTATACAAATTAGATTTCACTATTTAATTAATTAGTTAATAAGTAAATGATAATTTTAGTTAAGTTCGATAAATTTTATCTAAACCGAATATCCGAATATCAGTGTTAGCTGCGTGTTTTTTTCGTCACTACGATACCTGTTAAGTACGATATTTGCCTTCATACAAATGTAATTCGATACTTCACATGCGTTATTTATCAAACTAATCTATCTTATTTAGACAAACTATACAATTAGATGTTTAGTGTAAAATTATTTATTAAAAGAATTTTGTAAATATACGGATTGTACATATTATTATAAGATAGCACTTGTATATCTCACGTGAGGGTTCGCCATTAGTACAAGGTAATGTTTGTGCATAGCCAATGCATTTATTTCTAATTTATTCCTACTTATTTGTTACCTTTTAAATGTATATGTTTTGATGACAATTTACATGTAAATAAAAAACAAATATACATATCAGAATTTATTTTATTTAAATCTACAACAATGGACACAATGTCGACGTCTTTCTTAACTTTTACATAGAATTCTGCATACACTAAATGGTTTTGTAAGATTGATGAAAATTTTACATAAATTTAAATATACTTTTGTGAAATACAATGCATTTTTGTTTACGGTATAAATGCGTTAGTGGTATTCCCGCAAACGCACATTAAATTATCCAGACATCGTAAATCGACATTTATCGATTTATTTTCAACCAAAAATAACTATCATATGCTTCTGTAATCTGAGCTACTTTATAAAGTGAATATTAACATAACTTCTATACGCATTTATTGTAGTTTAAATAACTAGAAAATATTTCCTAGCTATAAGCCTCAATAAAGATGACATAATTTTAATATTTGGAAACTGATTTACAATTTTGATTCATAAAATACGAAATTTATGTAGCGACCAAGTTCTAATAAATTTGCGACTAAATCCGTAATAGAAATTCTTAGTCAAATACAACAGAATAGCTTATTTAATTTTTCACTTATATTACTAAACACTTGCAAACACATTGCTGTCTCGTTTTATCATAGAGAAGAGTGAGAGGGACGACAATATATTTAGTTGTTTCGTCTGTTGAAATTCATGGTTTAATTACATTTTACTGTAAAAAATGTTTAAATACACATATGTATTGAAATCAAATCTTATTCTTAATTTAGCATATTTGTTATATTTCGGAAAAAAAATGGATAGCCCAAGTTTGAAATAAACAAAAAAAACATAATATAGGTAATAGATACCTGAGTGACATTTTGCAAAATAATTACCAGAACCGTAGTTTTCTTCAATTGAAGAATGTCAAGCTTTAATAACTCGAAATTATTGTAATCATATCGACGGGTGAAAAGATATTTGTTTCAACCGCCATTTTAGGCGATATTGACTAAAATATATTATATATTCAGAATAAACGATTTTTTTCGACAGTAAAATTTAAAGTATGCAGAATTATAGTAATTTTAACCTAGAACCGGTCTGAAAATCTTTCAATTGAAATAATTTACAGGATTTGCTTTTATGTTTTTTTTTTCTTCAAATGAAAACCGCTCTCTTGAACATTCAACCTAATGGCGCTTAAAACAAATAGCCTTTCACGATATACTGATACGATATGGAATAACATTTTTAATTTTAAATAAAAACTCAATTCTGGATACAATTTAATTTCGAGTCTTTCAGCTTTAGTATTAAATTATGTACTAATTACACAAGTACTAGTACATCCTATAAAAAATCTCGGTTTCTTAAACTTTACTAATAAAGTCTATCCTTCCACATTCTTTAACTAAATAATTAGTATTGATAGTGATTTTGACACTACTTTGGGAAACCGAGTGATATAGATTTCCATACTGGAAAGTCATATAATTCTACATTTCTAGTGTCATATATCGTTAAAATAAGATCCGCTGCTCAAATAGACATCAACATTAAAGTATTGCCGATTTGACCTCTAATAAACCGAGGAAGTACAGTCGCGGAAATAAGCGGTATTCCAACTTGAAAGTTAGTGATTATATTTCTACACATTAAGGAAACGGAAAACTAAAAACATAACAAAACATCCAATGTGTTTGTGCCTAAAATATCAATTATAAAAGTATTGATGTTATGAATGGGCCAATTATCTGTAAGTGGGATACCGCGAATTCCCCCAATTGTACATAAAAATCCCCTTTGTGAGAGTAATTAGTTTTCTGTCTACAGAAACTCTAGTATTGTCTATAGCTGGTCACTTATTCGCCATCAGCGGCCACCTCCTCCTTGATCCTCTTCTCTTGTTTGATGTGGTCGGTGGTGGCGGGCAGTTCCTGGTTGTCGTCATCCTGCGCATCATCCTTGCTGTTCTCGTGCAGCAGCACGTACTCGCGCTGGGAGAAGCCGAACTTCACCACGTCCCGCTCCAGCAGCTCCACGTAACGACGAGCCTCGATCTTCTTGTTGTTCACGAATGTTCCGTTCGCAGACTCTGTGGGAATGGACACATTTTCATTGTCGCATTGCATACAGTAGTAAATGTATTTAGTTCAGGGTTATTTTCTCGTTAACGCAATTCACCGCTACCCAATTTGTTATTCGTAAAATTAGCTACTCCCGTGCCGAACCATCTGTACGAGGTTATATTACTTCTTACTTATATTATAAATTCGATAGTATAGATGGATGGATGGATGTTTGTTAGAGTGACATGGCTTAATTTTTTTTATTTCGAGTGGACGGAGTCGCGGGCGAAAGCTAGTAAAAACAAAATTCTTTACATTTGTATAACTCATATTTGCAAATGTCAAAATTCAAATTCAAAATCACAACAAAGACCTTTGTCATTGGTTAAAAATTACCGTTACCATAAGAATCTTGCTTTTTTGATTTGCAATTGGCTTACATATCGTGTTTTTTTTTTTTATAAAATAAGGTGGCAAACGAGCAAGCGGCCACCTGAAATTGCCAAAATAGCGAAGCGACCGCTGCCCATAGACATCTGCAATTGCAGATGCGTTGCCTACCCTTGATTGACGGAGGAGGAGACGCACATAAAGAGGACATTTCCCTTTACCTATGCGTCTCTTCCACCGTCAAATCCACTTTTCCTCCCCATCCTTTCTTCTTAAGAAAAGGGTGGAAAGGGAAAGGGACTAAAATTAGGCCTCC